AGTTCACCATGAAGAATTCTCCTGGAAATGGCTGGGGTTTCAGAAACATCTGGGAAAAATTGTCGAGTGGCGTAAAATGTGGCATTTCAATCTTTATCAAGATGAGGGTGGGCTGGCCTCTGTCAAACAAACAAGCAGTCTGCTAACCAAATGCAGACCTCAGAGAGGACATAGCTTCCAAGGTGAACTGAAGTGTTAGATTGATTTGCATAGAAATGACTACTTAAGTACTCAAAGTAGGTACTGTCAAACAAATCTTTTCTTAGTGTTTTTGGTGTCTGGACCATGATGTTTTTCTTTAAATATTTGCTGCTCTACTATTACATGCACACAGTGCTCAAGTTGTGGTTACTTTCAAGGCAAAGTGAATTACTGATATGGGAGGAATTAGATGGCAGAGAGGCGTTCTATATTCATGCTGTCACCGTTCTGAATTGTAAATTATACCATATTCAAACTTCTGAGTAGTTAGTACTGGATGATAAGAACTTGGAAAATTGTTACAAATTTCCCCTTCGTATCCAGGTTCTTTAGTGCAGACAGCTGGGTTTGGGAACTTGCAGTCTGTGCTGTTCTCTGCAAATCCTAGGTGACACCCCTTCTTGGACTACGGGTGGGGTTTGTTTTGCCCAATGCTTTGGTGGTTGTGTGGCTGCATCACTGTTGAAAATTGGACTCCACTGTTGCCATGTCTGCTCCTGTGTATATTACCTTTTTGTATTTTAACATGTGCTACTTGATGGGATGCCTGCATGTAACGTGTGCAACCTAGTGCTGGCTGTAATAATGTGTTTTCCTGACTCCCAGAATTGGCAGCACAGGTGGGCCTCAGCTCCTGCTGGGGACAGGTGTGATCTCACCCTGGAAGCTGTCTCCTCAAGCAGGCTGTCTGCTGAAGCAGTCTGTTGCCAGTCTGCTGTTCTGCTGCTTTCAGGAGGGGCGCCTGCCTAAACAGGAAGAAGTCATAGACTACTGCAAAGTGTTGCGCAGACATCTAAAATACCTGACTCTTTCTTCCAGTGCAACACCCAGATAACAGTGCCATCAGCAGCTACTTTTGGAATTTTAAACCCATTGGGAGCTTCATGGCATTATTTTGAGAGCCTTACCTCTGCACAGTTTTGTTCAGTTTGCAGAGAATGCACTGTGGTGTGTATCCATCAGGTACATCTTGCTGCTTAATTCTTTGACTTCTCAAAGTTGAAAGTCCCTTTTCTCCAAGGATGTCAACAGCTTTTCCAGCTTTGCCTTGCCTCCATTATGAATAACTGACACTGACCCATAATTATTTGCTGAAATTGAAATTATAAAGAGGAAAAGAGCAGTTCAGGAAAGTGGACATTCACAAGTCCATGGGCCCCGATGGGATGCAGTACTGAGGGAGCTGACCTATGTGACTGTGGGGCCCCTTTCTGTCATCATCAAGTTCCCAAAGACTGGAGGCAAACACACGTCCTATTGTCTGTAAAAAGAAGGACCCATGGAACCTCACAGGTCACTCAGCCTCACCTCAGTCCCTGCAGGGTGATGGAACAGCTTGTCCTGGAAACCATTTCCAGGTATGTGAGGGAGAAGGAAATAACAGGAGTAGGCAGTGTGGCTTCACAAGGGGAGGTCATGCCTGATGAGTTTCAGTAGTGATATCTGCAGCCTGATGGTGCTGGGGTTGGAGCAGGTGGGCCCTGAGGTCCCTTCAACCCTAACCATTCTGTGGTTCTGTGATTGATTTATTTACTAATTCTTAACTATACTAAACTATTTATTATGCCAAATGAAAGAATCTTGGCTAATAGGATTGTTAGATGTCTGGTCCCTTATTCAGACAAATTAAAATCAACCTTCCTGCTGCCTGAGATTAGCTCATTCAAGGAACAACAACTCGTGCCTCCAATTGCAAGCTCAAGCTCATCAAATGGTGGATTTTTCATCATGTGACAGTGACTGCTTGCCTTCTGCTGCCCAGTAATTATATGTTTAAAAAAAACAAAAGGCAGTCACTATTTGCTGTTTCATTTATTAGGCATGAAACAGTGACAGCACCATAGCTTCTGAGATTGTTTTCCCTGCTAATGAGGGGCTGCATGCATCACCAGGGTAAGTGTTCCCACTGATGTTTGGGGTCTGTGCAGAGCAGCACGCAGCGTGCAGCTGAATGCCTGGAGCACTTGGGCACTGCTGCACTCCTTGCTGCGAGCGAGGGGACCTCTCGAGTGGTTTGGAGTGTCTGGCTGATGCAAAGGCTGTGCTTGTGGAAGTGCTATATTGGGAAAAGGGAGTTTATTGTTAGCATGGGTTTCCATCGCGGTTCCTGAGCACTTAACTGGATAGGTTTGTTTGTCTTTAATTAGAGAACGCCATGAAGGAAACAGGCCACAATGTGAAACTTAAAGCAATCAATATTTCAAATACCATATGAGCTATGCTGTCATAAAAATGCGTTTCAGTGATGTTTCTCTCGTAATGTACTCGTTAAGCAGGGAAGTTTCCTCTCTGAGATGGATCTAGTGTGTCTTCTGGCCATAAAAATAAGGAATCTGTGTTAACAGTTGCAGAGGAGCATGGAGAGGTGCGGCACTGCCGTCACTGCTGCCTGCAGAAGGGGAAGCAGCCAGCAGCATTGCTGCGTTTGTGAGCAGCAGAAATGGTTTTTCTGAAGGCTTTGACGTCACGGGAGCACACCGAACACCAAATGCTGTTCGTGCAGATACCCTCGGTACAGGCATTGCTCAGGAGGATCGTTTCCCTTGCACATCCCGCTTGTTACAATGACTCACTGTTGCATTCAGCTCCCTCGGATGTGGCGCTGCTAGCCAATCTGTATCCAAGGTGATGGTATTTTCTATGGTGCATTGTAACAGACTGCGTTCCCTGCTTCCTTTGCGTACGGGCTGATGGACATGCTGCCTTCTGCTTTGGCTGTGCTGAATTTTGTAAATGCAACTCCTTTTTCTGGACACTGATTAGGAAAAAAACTGAGAAATGTGGTTTTGTTTTTTCTAATGTCTGTAATCGCTGGAGCTGGGAAAGTGATCTTCCTTTGTGTGTATATTTGGAGTTTGAAGAGATTGTTCCCTCGGTTACTTTATGCATGGTTTGCCCCATTGTACTCCTGATGCTTCTGCGCTATCTCAGTGTGCTTTGTCTCGGTGGATGAAGTGCTGGAGAGCAAACCGGTGGCTCTAGCCTGTTTGTTTCCTTACTGCTCTGTTTCCTTATTGCCCCATTTCCCTGCCGTGCTGTGTGGGATGGGAATGCTCAGCTCTTGGTGTTGATGGTTCTCCATCTCTGGCAGCAGCTTCTCCTCGCCTGGCGTGCTTTGAGCAGCTTCTCCTTGAGCAGCACATGGTGCCATGAGGGGAAGCCAAGGGATGGGAGGAAGCTGACACCCTGTGGAATGCAGTTCCCTTCTCAGCTTTGTGTCAGATTGATTAAACTTGAAACAAAGGCGGCCTTTTCAATAAAAGCTGCTATTGTCCAAGCTGCTTCTTCTGGAAGATGTCTTTTTGATTTCTGGGCCTGTATTTAATTCCAGTTCTCAATACTATGAAGAAAAGAGGTCAGAAGAAATCTATTTATATTGTGATTCCTTCTTGTCCCCTTTGGGTGAGCATTGTTTGTCTTCTAGAAGTGATTTCACCATTTGCAGTTGGAGCTGTTTCAGTCTGTGCTGTGCCAGAGTCGCTGCAGAAATCCCTGCAGGGGTGCTTGGAGGGCACAGCTGGGGCCACGTGCTGAATGCTCGCGGATGCAGAATCCCTGTGGCCAACGACTGGAAGGTGTCTCACTGAGTGGCACCTACAGTGTTCTGCAAACAAGGACATCTTCTGGACGATGGCAATCAGGAGGAATGGTGCTTCCTCACGTCGTGCTGCCCTGCTTCCAGACGCTTGGAGTCACCTCTTCTGCTTCTGTTGACTTCAAGGTGCACAAAAACCGTTTGGGGGAAAATGAGGCACAGGTAAATATCTTCTATTGGAAGGAGAAACTTCTGTGGAGAGGTGCCTCTAAGCTGTTGGTACCAATGCGCTTCTCTCAAATCTCTGCTGGGCATTCTGGATGAGTTCTCTATTTCATGATATGCTTTTGTGAGGGGATTGCATTTCTTATTGCTTCCAAGTCACTCTGTGCTTTGGTTGTTGAACAATTGGTACTGTCTCCTCCCCCAGCACTGAAGCAGTGTGTGTGCAAAATATACATCTAGCTATTCCAAGTGGAGAAGGTTTCCCTTCTAGTTTTTGTGCAGAAAATACTGTTAAAATAGGCCTACTCAATTCTTTAGGAAAAGTTTAATTTTGAAAGCCTTTTTTTTTTTAAGTATTTTTTCCCCTCTAAGTGACATGCTTTTAGGATTTCTCCCAACTAATTCTTAGTCCTATTTTTAATCTGTACTTCCTTTCTTACCACTTCCCTGGTGATATTTAACTCCAAAGGAAAAAAAAATAGTATATTTTCAAATGGACAGTCAGTGTGATACGCCTGCTTGTTTGTCACTGCAAACAGTGCAAAGAGACACGACCGCTGAAACCTGAACTGAACACAGCGTGTGGCAAATCTCCCTTTTATCTCTGCGGGCTGAAACTCGATTCTTGCTCATCTGAAAAGAATTCCCTCTGGCGCTGCAGGGCTGCTCTGTTGTGCTTGATACGGAAGTGCCCTGTGATCCAGGTGCTGGGAGTTGGAAAACCTGGTGCTCAGTGCTGGGGGTTTTCCAGCTGCAGTTTTGGCTACTGCACCCCAAGAGAGGTTTGCAGGTGGAATGGGCTGTAGGTGCACACAGGAAACTCTTTTTGGACTCTGGATGCCCTTAAAATATTGAGGAATTTGCATCACTAACTGAACCGCCTGGATGTTGCAATGACTGTCAGGAATGGGGGACACCTCGAAACTGCTTGGAACACAGAATTATTTCTCCAGACTTGTGTAAAGTGCTGCTCAGGATTACACCATGTTCCCACTGCTACTTCAGATACATTAGCACAGTTCTGAACAGGAAGCCAACACATGTTCTAGTTTACTCTTTATTGATTTTTTTTTTACAAGTATAGAATCTCATTTAAATCAGATAGCTATCTCAGCATCCAGCAATCTGCGTACTCATCCGGCAGGGATGCAGCAGAGGACAGGAAGGTCTTGCTCCATCTGCGGGGAGGGCAGCGGTGCCCAGGAGGCAGCAGCTGTGCCACAGACAGGTTTCTCCATGTCTCCAGTTGGAATCTTTCTCATCACGAACAGAGCGAGGCAAAGCCTTTTCCGTACCGCCATCCCCGTCCGGAGGTGAAACAGATCGCCTTTTTGTGCAGAACAATTCTAGAATGCAACATAACCTTGAGGACATAATGAAGTGTTTGAGAAATGGGCTAAGGCAGATCACGACCGTATCTAGAGCAAAGTACTCCAGTGGGTGTACCTACTTCCAGTCCACTGCTTGTCTGAATGTTAGGAAATGCAACTCAGCCCTTTAGGAAGGTGGCCACGCACACAGCGTTTCCTAAACATCCCCTTGGCTGTGTGGTGGGAAGGGAAGGGTTAACCTCCTGCTGCTGCTTTGAGCCACACGTTCACAAATTGTGTTTCCTTTCCACCCACGGAACACCAGCCGTACTTTTCAGAAGTGTCGGTGTATTCCAGGACTATTGCCCTGGCATGGAATGAGTGAAGAAGGGCTTGGTATTTACTTGATTCCAATCAGTCAAATTTTATTTCACTTGTGCCTGACACGGACTGACTTCATTCTTTTTGACTTTTAATACAGATTAAGAGCTGACTAAAGATCTCAAACACTATATACTGAGAGTCACTACAGATGTTAAAGAAAACACCAGCACTAGCAACACAACCCTGCACTACCTCCTCCCTGCTCCTGGAAGCCATGCTGTTAGAGCTGGACTTCCTGTGGTGCCAGTGCTGCTCCCAAACCACTACAGGATTCTGCAAGGAAGCAAACAAGCTATTAAAGAAATATCCAGGCTACCGCATCACAAAGCGCACTTTGTTCATTAATTCTGCCGAACGCCTCGTAGGCCTTTCCTCATAGGATACTAATAAACTGACTAAAAAGAGAGGGAGGCTTTATGAAAGGAATAAACTTATAAGAAGATCTCATTCTGCTAAATCAGAGAAAAATGGGATGGGGGAATCCCTGTAGAGAGAAATGCTTCGAAGGGAACTGTTGGCCTTGCGGGTTAGTGAGGTGAAAATTAGTTGAGGTTCTGCTGTATGGTAAAGAACCAAAGTTGGCTGTAGAAAGAGAAGGGAACATCTCCAGTCTGGTCGACTTGGAACAGCATGTCCCTTCTGCTGTGCTTCCCGTCTGCAGTCACATTAAATTCCCCAGTAAGGCATCAGGGGTCTCCTCTCTCTCTCGTAAACGTCTGGGATGATGCCATATGGTGTCTGTACCATTTTAACCGTTGTCTTCCCAAACAGCTTCCTCTCGTAGTCTATCAGTTGCCTCCAGAAGCCCACGTTGGGGCGTATAACAGGGCGCCTTGATTTGACCCAGTTGTATGCCTCGAAGAGGGACACCTTATGGTACTTCATCAGGTAGGCGATGCACAGGGTGGCTGACCTGCTCACGCCGGCCGCGCAGTGGACTAAGGTGGCCCCGTGCTTCCGTGCCACGCTGTTGATCTTGTCGGCAACGCTGTCGAAGTACAAGGAGATGGGGGCGTTGGGCATGTCAGCCAAAGGCACTTTGACATATTCAAACTGGGGCCAATTGAAGTTGGGGATCTCGATGGTTGCGTTGATTATGCAGGTGATCCCTCGGGACAGGAGCAGGTGCCGGTTGGAGGCGACGCTGCCCCGGCTCAGGTACAGCGAGGGGGTGATTTGGGCAATGCCCCCCAGAGCACCTTCGGAAAGCATTCGTGGAGCCATCAGAGTTCTCGGCAAGGAGTTGTGGCTTCTGGAGGTCATGGAGGATCTTGGCACTCACACCTCCATTATGGGAAGGGATCCAGTGGGATCTGCAGCCGAGGGAAGGATTGTCTGGCCCGGTAGTGCAAGGATAGCAAGTGCTTCCTCCGCTTAGTCACTGCAAAACACAAGCAAACACCACGTGAGTGGGGCACCTGTCCGATGAGCCTGAGTCTGTGCAAGAGAGAAGGAAAACCCAACTCACCCTGCTGTGGCCTGGACAATCTCCTACTGGCAAACCTCCGTGGGTAAGGCTGCCCTGGGTTTGTACGATGCTTATTACCATGGGGCCCCCAGGCACAGCCTAAACAGATATTAACACAAAAATCTTCTAACCTAATTAGCTCCAATTAGTTGTCAAGGGCTTAGGCAGCCTACCTGTGGGCCTGGGCAGCGTTTCATCCAGATTAGCTTGTGGAAGATTAGTGATGCCTTTTTTCGTGTTCAAAAGCAGTAACTTCCCAACTGGCTGGAATCCAAGGAGAGGGTGAGAAACATCTCACGCAGACTGGATATAGATGCCAGCAATGTACCCTGCCTTCTCCCCAATGCCACCCTTCTCCTTTTTTAGGTATAAGAAAGTCTCTGCCAAAGCACATAAACATAGGAAAATTGCTCATTAAAAAAGGCAGTGAGTCACGTCCATCTCGATCAGTAATCGGTTCCCAGTGAGGCTGGGGAAGTGTGGAAAGAGTGACCTGGTTATGTCAAACAGAGAGTAAAACTGAAGCAGAGGTAGGGACAAGGGAGGCTCTTTTCCTGCTGCTTTAATAACTGACTAATGTTTTGGAGAAAGACACGCTCCACAGAGGTGTGGGTTTGCCTGTGTGAGCCATTTATCCCCGGCCACCTCCGCTGTGGGCCCCAGGAAGGGCACGATCTGGGCACTCCTGCTATTTCAAAGGCCAGAGTGGAAAATAAAAGTTCTGTTTTTATCTCCCTTACTCCTTTAGGACTTCTCCAAAGCCAGTTTAGAAGCTGCAAGCAAGGGGATGAGCCACGAAGCATTAATACCTTGTAAGTCATGTAAGTCTACCTATGTGGCCTCCAGCTGGAGCTTGGTGTGGGAGAGGCTGAGGTGGGGGCAGAGTTCTCATGGGCCCCCTCGAAGGGCTGAGACTGTGCCTGCAGTGCCTGCAGTGCCCCAGGCCCGATGCTGCCACGCCGTGGTCTGTCAGCATCCCAGGCTCTGGAAAGCACTGGCAGGTCTCAGCAGTGGCTGGTAGCGCTGCCAGCAGATTTTTGGCACGGGTTTGCAGTATGGTAACTTAATGAGCATAACGCAGTCTCCTCTGTGGCTTGTTCCCTGCTGGCAGCTACTTGAGCAGCTCCTGAAACTGTGGGCCCAAAGTGCCGGTGCTGCAGAAGTTCGTGCTCCAACAGGAAGATTTTTGCTGCAGATGTGAGCACTCAGCTTCCCACTGCAGGCACCCAGCTGGAACAGCAGGGAACATCATGGCGTTTCAAAGGAATTGGGTTCTCAGAGCAGGGGAAATCCCTATTCAAGTAACTACTACCGGCAACACAAAGGATTTGGGCACTTACACTCGAGAACAAGCTACTCCCAAGCACCGCATGGCACCTGGAGGCAGAGGGCTGCTGGGACTGGGGTATCTCAGAGCACATCCAACACTGAGCTGGGAAGAGAAGAGAGCATGGGTTTGTTATGCACCAGCTGGGTCTGAGAGAGGGCACCAGGCAGCATCTCACCCTGAGGATGTTTAGCCACCAAATTAGGTAGCTTTCCAAGGACTGGAAAGGAGGATCACAGCTTCTCTGCATGGACACAGAGGCTGTAGAAAGGCAAGTTGGTACTGAGAGCCACAGCATCCTGCTTTTGGGATGAACAGGACTGAGACAGCATCCCCTTTTGATTCTCCATCTAGACCAGAGATAACACACGTCCTGAGAGTGGAAGGAGCAAAACAGAGTGAGGTGAAATGGGCCGAGAGCAACGAGAGCGGTGCTGGAGGCTGGCAGGCAGTGCGCCCGCTGCAGGGCCGGCAGGCAGGGCGGGATGCGGCTCTGGCAGCACACAAATCCAAACAGGATTGTAACTCCACGCTGTCCTCCAGGAGGGCTGGGGAGCATTAGTGGGGAGGTGACCTGCAAACACGCTGCAGCTGCAGGGCTGGGCAGGGCTGCTCCAAAGAGGGCTGTGCAGGAGGATCTGGCCTGTTTCATCTAATAAATGCTGAATCCAGGGCCTTTGTTTGCTCAGTCTCAGCTCAGCTTTCACCGCAGGGAGTCGGCCAGCAAAATTGGCTGATCTCTGTTTCCTTGATGTCACCTGCCCAGCTGACCTGCCGCTGCCTGGGATGAGGAAGCTCAGCACTGGACTTGGGCAGCTCCAGCAGGGCAGGGATCTGTCTCCTCCTGGCCATTGGGTGCTGAGTTCCTTGCTTTAGAGAAACATTTGAGCAGAAACATCCCCCAAGTCCTCATGGTGGCATGAGTGGCAATGTGCAGGAGGGTTGAGGTTCAGGTCACTGGGCTTTGGACTTGGCAAACGGGAGGGCAGTTGCTGTAGGTGAGATCTTCACAGAACATCCTGAGATGGAAGGGTCCCATAAGGATTATCGAGTCCAACTCCTGGCTCCACACAGGAGCACCAAAAAATCGTCAATGCCAAAAGGCAGCAGAGAGGAAATGGGAACCCTTTGGTATGCAACATGAATAGGGACAAGCTGGATTTTCCCAGCGGTGAGAGCTAGGCTTGGTTTTGGCAGCATGACAGCCAGCGGCAGCCCCGTGCGGACCCAGCCCTGCAAGTGTGCTGCGGGGGCTTGGGGTGCTTTGAGAAGGGCTCTGCTGCTTTCCATAAAGTGGTTCCTGCTTGCAGGCAGCAACTTATCTGGCCATTTGCATGCAACGAGCTGGGCTTGCTCTGCAAACTCCACAGCTCCGGGCTGGCAGCAAGCTGCCTGTGCACAGCTCACTCTCAGCAGAGGCCAAGGACAGATAGACGAGCAGCTTTGTACTAAGTGGACACTGCACAGCCAGGAAAAGAGCAGCAACAGAGCTCCAAATGGCCGATACCTGGCAGCACTGCCTCTGTGTGAAGTAGAGCAACTCTGGACGAGAAACAGTTAATGTTTCAGGAAGGATTTCATTACATAAGCAACTGCTGAGGCTGCTGCCATGCTCTGAGCAAACTCAACACAACCGAGGTGCACAGCGATGAGAGCAGAGGGCTGGGGAGGCAGGAGGATGCAGAGAGCAGCACCTTCCCCAGCATCAGCCAGCTGACGTACAGCATGCTGCCTCTGCTGTGTGGCAGATCCATGCCCGTGGTGGTTGTGGTAGTCCTGAGTGATGACCAAAGCTAGCAGCAGGTGTGAGTCGTTACCTGCCCTCACAGCTGCACCTTCCTAACACTCCTGCCTAGTCCCAGCCAGCTTCTGATTTCACTCGTATGAAACAATTTGCTATTCTTAATATGCCTAATTTACTCTGCTTCGCCCCCTCTGTAACTCAAAGCTGTTACTCTTCATGAAATGGTTCCCATCATTATGCTGGGGCAGAGAGGAAAAGGCTCTTACCAACTCCTGCTGCATGCCAAAAAACCAAACCAAACCAACAAACAACTGAGAATGGAATGGAGTGAGCAGTGAGCCCCACAGAGCCAAGGGCCACCCATCCTGCAGGGGGAGGCTCCAGGTGCTGGCAGGGTCAGGGTTTGTTACAGAAGGCTCAAGTAAACGACTCCATCCTGGCTGCATGTGAGCAGTCAGCCTATGCAACCAAGCTTCAGGACACAGGCACACACACATCACAGAGGTGGCATTGCCACACGTGTCCACATGGTTGGGGTGCTTCTATGCCATGTACTGAGCTCAGCGGGGGCCCCTGGTAACAGTACTGGGGACTGGTGCAGTCCCCCTCCTGCCCCAGGTGGAAGCAGCTGTTTCTCTCCTGTGCCTGACGAGGGGTGGGGGAAGGGCCTCATTAATTACAGCCTGGATTAGCCCACCCCTAACGGCCCCAGGTGTGCACCAGCTGTCCTTGGGGGTGGGCTCATAGTGACCAGCTGGTCCTTCCCAGCATTCACTGCAGGAGGCACCTTGCTTCTGCCCACTGCGACCAGCATTTCTCTCCTGATGGCTCCAACGTGCTCCATGACCGTGTTCTACCGAGTCCGGTGAGTTTGCGTTGGGCGCCATGTGCGTTTCTGCTGCTAAGCTGTGCGGTCTGTCTGTGCTGATCCCCCCAGAGAAAGGAGAGACAGGTGCGTGTAGCAGGAGATGGGTGAGGTGGCTGCTGGGTGCGTGTCTTTGTGGGGCTGAGTGTGCTCACCAGGCTGGGTCTCCTGGCAGCACAGCAGCTCCTCTCCTGGTAAGGGAGCTTTAGAAGCAGTCAGATAATATCTCTGTAATAGTTTGTGTGTTGGGCGGTCTGCTCCCTCAGAAAGGCTATTGCTGATGGTGCTTACAGCTCTCTTGTTCCAAGTCATGTAGTGGTTGGTGTTTCTTCCTCTGGCTTTGGTTCCCAGAGACACAGGTTTCCATTAATGAAAACTGCAATTCCCCCAGGAAAGCATTCTTGGTTTCTGGGTTTTCTGAGAAAGGCCTGAAAGCACCTCTGAGAGCTCAGGAGACTGAGACAGAAACAGGCAGACGTCATGGTTAAATGTGCTGTGGTCTCTGGGATGCCGGAGGGCCCTGCTTGTTGGTCTCCCAGTGATGAGTTGGCAGCTCTGAACTTCAAAGTTCTCATCCCAGGGGTGCTGGGTGGCTTTTTCTGTGACTTTATAGGGGGATTTGGAGGATTTTCTTTTTTAAGAACTCTTCTGGCTTGAGAGCAGAGGCACTGACTTGTTCCTAAGGGGTGTGAGTCAGGACTGCAGTAAGCATTGCGTTACATGTCGGTGCCGTGCTACTGTACCTAGCAGAGGTGAAAACACCTTCTGGCTCTCCTCCCCCTGCATGGCGAGCCCTGGGCCTGCAGGCTGGTGCTGAGGGGGGGCCCTGCTCTGGTGCTGCCTTCTGCTCATCCCCACCAGAACCCAAGGACCGTGTGGCACTGGGGGTGTTGAGAGTGCACCGAAAGGGGCCCAGTGAGCTCAGGGCATGGGGTGGAGCAGGTGCAGAGAGAGCCTTGCTCCCAACAAAGCAAAGCAGCAGAAGCCCCCAGTTTCTTTCCCAGAGCATCATCTGAGATTTGAAGCAGGTCTGTGGGCTGGGTGTATGAGGTATCAGCACTGAGGCTGTTTCTCCCCCTTCCCAGGAGAGGTAAAGTTATTCATTTTAAGAGATGACAAACGCCGCAGTAAAGAGAAGAGTCAATATTGCAGGCGCTGAAACGAATCTGCTCAGGGCCCTTCCTAGCTAGGCCAAACAGCAAATTGCTTTGGAAATGGTCTTGGAGAACGGCGTTTAAAATATAATTCAGCAGAGAGCACAAAGTACGGCTGTTCTCAGGGTCACAGCTCGTTCGTGCCAGGTCTGAGGGAGCTCAAGATGGGCTCGAGGCCAGAGGGCTGCCTTGACTCTGCGGGCACCACCACAGCAAAGCTGGGAGGTGGAATGGGAACTGCAGCCCCTGGCCCACTGGTGATGTACTCCTGGAGCTGCCATTGGTGTGTCCTCGTGAGCAGAGAAATGAGCGGTTGGGTTTTGGATTGGGAAACAGCAGGGACATGGGGTGATGTGGGTGTGACGGAGGATGCCTCAGCCGTACCTTGCACCTGTGGCCAAGCCCTGCTCTGATTCCTGCTGGCTGCCTGCATTACCTTCTTAGGCAAGCACGGGATGGAAGCTGTCAGATGTGAACTCGAGATAACAGTCTATCTCCCAGAAGCTGTGAGCAGGCCTGGCTGCCTGCACAGCCCCCAGCACAACCACAGCCCCCATGCTCACGGCGCACACTGCTGTCAGTGCTGCGTTCAGGCATGGCTCCCTGCCACACAGGGGACGTGCGTGGTTTGGCTGTGAGAGGTCCTGGGCTTATCGCTGTTCAGTGGCCCTGCATCTAGCACATCTGCTTGGAGAGAGTGAGGTTTTATCTGCCTGGTGTGGCGCTGCTTCCACTCGGTGGGAATCTGGGCTGCTCCCATGACCTGAGCCTCTCCAGGTGCCCCAGCCTCTGTGACACTGCCTGCGAGGTGACAGCTGGTGACACGGCTCTGCTCCTTTCCTGGGCGCTGGAGCGACGTGGCCTGCAGCATGTGGGTATTCATGAACCCTTGTGTGATGCAGGGCTGTGCTCTGGGGATGAGCTTCCCTTGGCAACTGGTTTTATCCATGAGAAGCAAGCTGCCTTTTTTTTTTTTTTTTTTTTCTTTTAAGGCAGCACCTTTTATTTTGGAGCTCCTGGTATGCTCCAGCACTCCATGTGTCTGCTGCTCAGGCCCATAGTGCAGCCACCTGTGTCTTACTTAAACTCACGCTGGGTGCATCAAATGCTCTCTAAAAAACAGAATGAAGCCTTGAGGAGGCGTGAGCTGGATCCTATGGCTGTGTGCAGCGTCAGGGCTGTGAGCTGGCTGAGCTCTGGGGGCTGTTCTCAATTCCACGTCTCTCAAAGCAAGAGGGGAGGGAGAGTATCTGTTCCAAAGCTATGCTGCTTATTTTGGCACCAGCTGACGGCATCTGGGCTGCAGGCAGAGCTCAGAGAAGCTCCCATATTGTATGGGTGTGCGACCCTGGCTGCCTGGGCACCTGCGTGGAGCAGAGCAGTGGGCAGGCTGTGCCTCCTGGGGTGTGCGATGCAGCCTCCCTTCTCCTAGGGATGTGCCCAGCTGATAAGAGAGATGCTTTCCCATGTGCTGCACAAAAAACAGCTGCTCTGATGCCTATGTGATGCTGCTGAAGACTGGGGCGGCGTGGTTTGCACCCAGGGCTCAGAGGCTGCTGCCACTGCCACAGGCTGTTGGCCTCTCATTGCTGGGCAGCACCTCTGTGCTCAGCTTCAGCCTGCACCAAAACCCATACAATTGAAGGCAGCTGTGAATTCACTGCTGTGACTGCTAGAAATTGCACGGCACCTCCATGCCGATGCTCACCCAGACCTCTTCCAGAGGCTGTTGCAAGTAGTGTGCATCTAAGTACAGCCCTCCTTCCCTGAGTGATCTCAGAGCATTGTGCTCTGCATGCCTGTGGTGGGGAACCTCTCAGGGTGGGTGAGTGGGGCTGTGGGCAGCCCAGGGCCCTGGGCATGTTCAGTGCAGGGCTGTGCCAGTGGAAAGCTGAGCTGGAGGAAAAGCAGTGGAGCGGGGCTGGCGAGCAGCTGCCTGGCCCTGCCAGCCTCCTGCCCGCAGCAGCTGGAAGGAATGAGGTTGCTCTGAGCACATTGATGAGGTTGCTTAGGGTAACAGGAATGGAGGCCAACTGTAATCAATTAGCTGGAAATCAAGTTTACATGCAGCAGGGAATGTTTCCCATGCAAACAGCACAGAGCCAGCACCCCTGGTCTCCGTGTGCTCCCATTGGTATGGGCGGCTGCTCAGCACAAGGCACAGCAAATGCCAATGTTGCTCATGAATAGGGATTCCCGGCTCCAAGGAAATGCAGCCGTGCTCAGTCCTGTGGGGTGCAATCTTTACGGGGGAAACACGAAGTCCCATCAGTGCTGTGCTGTCTCCAAACACCCCGCTGGAGACATCCACACCTGACTGGTGAGCTGTCCTGCAGGAAGCTGCCAGCTGTGGTGGTTTAATTTAACACAAGCTGCCTGAGGGCTGTTGCTGCCTTATTTAAAGGGGGAGAGGAGCTGGGTGGGATGAGCCCAGCAGCAGGAAGGGCCCTAGGTTCAGGGGCTCTGCTCCAGAGACCTCCAATCCATTTCCAAGCACCAGAGCCCTGGCCAGGTGTTGGTTTGGAGCTGGAACTCAGTTGCATATATCTAGAGACAGAGGGGATTGGGAGAAGCTCCCATACCCAATTTGAGGCACAAATGTTGCTTTCTATGGGAAACCAGCCTGGCAGGAGGGAGGGCTGCCTGCAGCCCTATGGTCTGGGGCAGCAGGAGGGCTGTGTGTGCGGCGCACTGACAGCTCTCACTCCACTGGGTTTCCTTGCTCCTCACTTCCACCTGGGTCCCAGATGTGATGTTTCTGGCTCAAAGCCAGCACTGCCTCTCCTGTATAGAGTTCTGCATTTTGTTCTTCTCTCCCATAATATCCCATGTAGAGGGTTTCCCTCTTCCCCCCCATATATTTCTGAACACTAAAGCAGCCTCGGCTCGCCTCTCCAGTTCTGAGACGTAGTTGGGTTCAGCTGTTTGGTTAAACTGTGCCACTTCCCATGTTGACCAGACCAACATGGAAGCTGAGCCAGAGCCAGGAGACCCTGGAGCAGGAATGAAATCCCTGAGATTTCGCTTGTTCCCTGAGGAGTGGGACGTGTACGTCCTGGGGGCAGGAAGCACAAGCAGCATCGAGCCCCTGCTGGTGCTGAGCAAAATGCTTCCCATCTGCCGTGCTGCTGCTTCTCACAGGGCTGCACTGCCCAGAGCGCTGCTGGAGTGCACTCCCCAAGCCGGTGCTATTGAATCTTTGCTGCCTGGGAGCTGGAGCTGTGCTGAAGGCCAGAACCCAGGCACCGGAGGCAACAGCGTGCCTGGAGGTGGGTGGAGAGGCCCAGGGAGAAGCAATCTGCTCCCTGCCCGAGCCGATGTGGCCTATCATAAGGGAAAACAATGTTTTGCCATTGCTAACCCCTCCACCGTTCCTGCGGCGTTAGGAATAAACCGACCTCACAACACGACATGGGGTACCCGGCAGTAGGCAGAGCCGCGCGGCACGACGCTCGTTTGCCGTCCCGTCGAACAGGTTACGGCCCCCCCGCCGTGAGTCGCGCCGTTGCCGGCGGCCGCCCAGGCGACGATTCGACGCGCGGTGCGGCCCCGTCCCGCCAGGGGTGCTGGGGTTCAGCGCCCGGCGGGCGGGATGCGCTGCCCGGCGCCGCCGTCGGGCTTCCCCCGAGCGCGCTGAGCCGCCGCGTCTCCGCCGTCCGGCCGTGCGCTTCGTGCCCCGTCCCGCCC